AATAAGACTTTCTCTAGAAGAAAAATATATTATAGCAAATACTGTGACAAATGTCCTTTCTCTGTTAGACGTCACTTGGGATATATTTCAAAAATAATTACAATTTCACAAGAGGTTGAATAATTCAACTACACACACATACATGTTATTTTGCAAACTATTTTCAGACATATGCAAATTGATTTTTAAATGACACGATACAAACGTTCGATCTTCAAGTGTGTAAATAAATCAATATTTGGGGGAATGACCATGATTTTTATGTATTTTCATTTAATAGCTCTCTCTGTGGTTCACTGCAGTGTCAAAGCTAATGGATAAATGGATATATAAGCTTTTCCAGATTGGTAGATCTCAATTATTTCGGCATGATGTCTAGATTTTGAGGATCTTTTGGTCTACTTCACTTAGTCCCGCAGGTCCTATTTCTCATTTGTTTTATAATTTTATTTGCATCTCTGCATGGTGTCTATATTTTGAGGATCTTTTGGTCTACTTCAGTCACACAGGTCCTATTTCTCATGTTTTAAAATTTCTCTGGATCTCAGCATGATGTGTAGATTTTGAGGATCTTTTGGTCTACTTCACTGTCACACAGGTCCTATTTCTCATTTGTTTTAGAATTTCTCTGGATCTCAGCATGGTGTCTATATTTTGAGGATCTTTTGGTCTACTTCACTGTCACACAGGTCCTATTATTTGTTTTTAAATTATTTTCCTCTCATTATCAAGTATTTTTTTTCTCATTTGTTTTTTTACATTTTTTATTTCTTTGGATCTGAGCATAATGTCTAGATTTTGAGGATCTTTTGGTCTACTTTCCCATTCTTCATTTGTTTTAGGATTATTTTCTTTACATTAGTAATTATCGTCTTTCTCAAATGTTTTTTTATGTTTTATTTCTTTAAATCTCAGCATGATGTGTAGATTTTGAGGATCTTTTGGTCTACTTCACTGTCACGCAGGTCCTATTTCTCATTTGTTGTCGAATTAATTTCGATCTTGGCATGATGTCTAGATTTTGAGGATTCTGAGGAAGGGGCAAACACTTTTTCACACCTGACTCTTAGATTTTTTTCCTAATAAAAGACCTTCGTTCAAAAACTACATGATGTGTTATCTTCTATTAGTATTTTGAAAGCAAGACATTTCTTACTCCTGGTTTTGTGTGGCAAGTGACATAATTAAACAAGGCGGGTGAAAAAACACACGGCTCAGAGAAACAAATCGACTGTCATCCGTCTTGCTTGCGCTGTGTCATTCTTAAGTGCCATCGCTCATGCCGTCTGGACGAGCGCATGGAAATAATTCAGAGGAGCGCTATAAATATCCGGCATCCCGAACGGGCCATCAGTAATGCGGGATGAGTGTTTAAGAGCCACGATCAATAGCAGAACATTTGAGTAGGTGTTTCTCCACAAAGCCACTCCATCGGCTTCCACTGAAATCCATCTGCACTGAGCTAATGATGTAATGCTCGATTCGCAGAGAAACAAAACTCTTTCTGTGCTTATTTCTTTATTTTGGAGGACAGCAGGCTGGAGCCCAGTGGCTGGCACTGACAACTGACTGTTAATCTGACCAAACACACAAAGAAAAGCAGAGAGAGATACAATAAAAACACAGAGAGATGGAGAGAGAGAAACTTTAACTTTAAAACCTCTTTAATTAACCTTAAAATCTCATCAAAGCAATATACAATTACTATGAGATGTCTAAAAACTATTCAATCACCAGACATTGATTGAACAAATATAGCATGTCCTATTCACATAGCGTACATAAAGCTTAGTTCACACACCATTTCCATTTCAATTCAAGTAAATTCCCTGAGAGTCGCTCAAATTTATATCCCAGTCTTACCCTGGATGTAACTAAGACCGTAAAACATTTCTAAATCTCTATCTTTTCCCCTTCTTCTGAGAGTTTTCCAGAGAGAGAGAGATGGAGATAGTTAGAGAGAGAGAGAGAGTGTGTGTGTGTGTGTGTGTGTGTGTGTGTGTCCATCAGATCAAGTTTCCATCAGCTCAAATAGCTATTGACCAGATCAAGCAGCCTCTATCTGCGGTTCTTTTCTGTCAATCAGAGGAAATTAGAGAGGAGAGCAGAGAGAGAGAGACAGAGCTGAGGAGAAGAAAACACTGGAGATGTTCACATTAACACACACCACCATAACACTTACTGCGTTATTACTGTAACACACCATTAACTACAGCTGTCAACATCTGCACTGACCTCACTCAACTATATATAGAGTATACAGCGGAAGACATGATGGTTGGCCCGACTGTGAAACTTGTATTATTTTTTCAATATTTCCCAAGTGCTGCTTTAAAGAGCAAAGAAATGTTCACCGTATTATTTTTTTCTTTTTAAGCAAATTTCAAATGTCAATATTACTTGCCAATCTGACCAATTATGCAACTTAAATTGAATAAATTAAAAAAACAGCTATGACCTGTTGATTTTAGTATTAACATTACATCATCAAGATCATTCTCGAGATGTTTCAGCAGCTTCATTAGAGTTCACCTGTGCTCAATTCAGCTGATTGGACATTATTTAAAAAGGCGTACACCTGTCTATATAAGGGTTGACAGTGCATGTCGAAGCACAAACCAAGCATGAAGACAAAGGAATTGTCTGTAGACCTCAGGATTGTCTGGAGGCACAAGGCTGGGGAAGGTGACAGAAACATTTCTGCTGCTCTGAAAGCTCCAATGAGCACAGCGGCCTCCATCATCCATCAGTGGAAGATGTTTAACCACCAGGACTCTTCCTAGAGCTGGCCGGCCATCTAAGCTGAGTGATCGGGGGAGAAGGGTCTTAGTCAGGAGGTGATCAATAACCTGATGATCACTCTGTCTGAGCTCCAGCGTTCTTCTGTGGAGAGAGGAGAACCTTACAGAAGGACAACCATCTGTGCAGCAATCCACCAATCAGGCATCTGTATGGTAGAGCAGGCAGACGGAAGACACTGCCCGCCTGGAGGTGCATCTGAAGGACTCTCAGAGCATCAGAAACTAAACTCTCTGCTCTGATAAGACTCAAACTGAACTGTTTGGAGTGAACGCCAGGCGTTACGTTTGGAGAAAAGCAGGCAGCGCTCATCACCAGGCTAACAGCATCCCTACAGTGAAGCATGGTGGTGTTGGCATCATGCTGTGGGGATGTTCTTCAGCAGCAGGAACTGGAAGACCAGTCAGGATAGAGGGAAAGATGAATGCAGCGATGTACAGACACATCCTGAATGAAGACCTGCACAAGAGTGCTCTCCACCTCAGACTGGGGCGACGCTTCATCTTCCAGCAGGACAATGACCTGAAGCACACCGCCAAAATATCAATGGAGTGGCACAACAACAACTCGGTGAATGTCCTTGAGTGGCCCAGCCAGAGCCCAGACCTGAATCCTATTAAAACATCTCTGGAGAGATCTGAAAATGGCTGCACACCGTCGCTTCCCATCCAACCTGATAGAGCTTGAGAGGTGCTGCAGAGAGGAACGGGCAAACATTCCCAAAGACAGGTGTGCAGAGCTTGTGGCATCATATACAAGAAGACTTGAAGCTGTAATCGCTGCCAAAGGTGCATCAACAAAGTATTGAGCAAAGGCTGTGAAGACTAATGCACATGTGATTTATCAGCTTTTTAATTTTCAATACATTTTCAACAATTTCAAAAACTCTTTTTTTGCATTGTCATTATGGGGGATTGTGTGTAGAATGTTGAGGAAATCAATAAGACTGTAACATAAACAAATGTGGAAAAAGTATATATATATTGTATGTCTGTGTGTGTCTGTTTCTCTCTCTCTCTCTCTCTCCATGTGTGTGTGAGTGTATCCGTCTCTCTTTCACTCTCTCTGTGTGTGTGTGTTTGTCTCTGTGTGAGTGTGTGTGTGTGTGTGTGTGTGTGTGTGTGTGCAGGGCTCCATTCTCTGTAGCTCAGACGCGCTCCTGCCTCTCCGGAACAGGATCGGCTCCTGGATCCCCGGGCTCCGCTGGTGGTTCTGGTTCGGTGCTGCTGGCGTCTGCGTCCCGCTCCAGCTCCA